CCAGGTGTGGTGTCTTGTGCCTTTAATCCCAGCTACTGGAGAAGCTGAGGCAGCTAGATCCTAAATTCAAGGCCAGCTTGGGCAATTTAGTGAAATCCTGTCCAAAATAAAATAAAAGGACTAGGGATGTAGCTGAGCGGTTGAGCACTTACCTAGAATACATGAACCCCTGGGTTCAATCCCCAGTACTGTAGGAAAAAAAAAAAGAAAAAAAAAGGTGCCAGATTGTGTGTCTCCCTTTAATGAAGCTATGCCTTCCAGAGGGCACAAGGACATCTTCCTGGTGGCTGTACTTTCTGCACGTGTTCCTGGAGGGGGAGGGAGGAGAGAGATCAGTGGAGTCATGGGAATTTGCCCAGTCTGCATTGCTTAGCTTCCTGGTCACAGCCTAGTGAATTCCTGCCTTCTGGAGTGTGCTTTGGCTTGGATTACCATGGATCTCTCCCAGCCTGGCTTAGTGTTGTTGGTTTTAGTGTGACCTTCCAGGATAAACTCTGCTCTAGCATGCTGGTGAACAAAACCAGGATTCTGGTCAGCTGCCTTCCCGCTGGAGCTTACAATTCTGGAATTGTAAGAACTTCCCACCATATTTAGTACCTGGTTTAGTGCTCCAACTTTTAGTTTCTACAGTGATTTTTATCTGAAGCTTCACAGCAGGTGGGGTTTAAGTCATCCTAGTGTCTGTACTAGCTGTCTTGGGGAGAATGGCAAACAGATGCCTATGCAAATTCCCTTTGCTACAGTTTAAACCATCTTTCTGTCATCTGGTGCCTAGGCAAAGGCATTCCAAGTCTTTGTTTAGAGTTTCTTTTTCACACTAACAGACATTTTCATCTGCTAGTGCCATCTGCTGGACTTTCTCCAAGTTCTTTTCAGCTTCTTTCAAGTTTCAATACAGCTCTCTTACTGTGGAGGAGGACCAGACCCCTCCTGAGGGCGCTGGAGGAGGAAAAATGCCACCATGGATTAAGGATTTACCTGTACTCCCTCCAGCACAGTGGTCACCAAAATTCCACTCATTGTTCACCACCTGCACCTTGTCTGCTGTTCCAGTGTCACTGCATTACAGTACACAGTGTGTGTCTGCATCCCCGGACCGAGAGCGCCTTTTCTTTTCCATTTCTGCTTGTCCTGAATCCATCCAATTTTTTTTTTTTTAAAACAGGGTCTCTCTTTGTGACCCAGGCTAGTCTCAAACTCAAGATTCTCCTGCCTCAGCCTCCCAAGTGCTAGAATTATAGGTGTATATTACCATGCCTGGTTCCATCCAATTTTAAGTGTCAGTGCAAATACCTTGTTGTCAAGACACTCTTCTCTTACTGGCTTCAGAAAGATGTGACCTTTTGTATGTTGGATTCTCCAAGCATTTGATACGTACTTGTGAGCGTAATTGTTTTCTACTTTGTTTTTGTACTGATGTTTGAACTCAGGGCCTACACCTTGAGCCACTCCACCAATTTTTTTGAGATAGTGTCTCACTAACTATTTGCCTGGGGTGACTTCGAGCTTCAGTCCTCCTGATGTCTGCCTTCTGAGTAGCTAGGAATACAGGTATGAGCCTCCATTATCCGGCTTGTTTTCTACTTTAAAGTGTAGCTATATTCAATCTTGCTTTCCAGTTTGTAAACCTTGAGAACAGGATTCATGTCTGACTCACTCACATCTTCATGTCTTCTCTTTCTTTTCCCCCTCCTCCTCTTTCTCCCAACTCTCTCCCTCTCTTCCTCCTCTCTCTCTTTCTTCTTTTTCCCATAAGCCACAATACACTTACCCATGATAATGACAGCTAGCATTTTATAGCAATTAATATATGTGCCACCCACTCTTCTCCTTTCTTCACGTGTTCTTAAAACCTCACGACAACCTTACAATGTAAGAACTACAATTAACATCTATCTGTGCTTGGTAGGTAACGAAACTGATGTTAGATGAATTTCTTAGGGTCATGTAACGAGAGGTGGAATGTGACATATGCCACATTCTAGATTGTTTTGGGGTTAGGGACAAGGTCTTGCTATGTAGCCCAGGCTGCAGATTCTAGAGTCTTAACCATTACCTTGATGCTGCCTCTTGTTGGCATATGTGCATACATACATACATACATACATATGAATGTATACTTGTTGATGCATACAGGTTGGTGTTTCTTAATTACTTACCAATGAATAAATAATATGAAGGTGACCTATTTTTACCTCCATCTGAACTTTTTAAACTGTGCAGAGACCAGAAGGGGGTGCCAGAGAATTGGGTCTCTTTTTTTTTTGCAGGAGTGGGGGTGGTGGTGGTGGGGATGGTGGTGGTGGTGGTGGATTAGGTTGGGTTTGAGAGAGGATCTCACTGTGGAGCTTAGACTGGCCTCAAACTTGTGATCCTCCTCCCAAGTGCTGGCATTGCAGCTTTACACCATCACAGGCTGTTGCTTCTGTTTTTTGATGCTCTGGATTGGTTTGGCTGGTTGTGATTCTGGTTTGGAGATCAACAGTGCCATCTAGTGGGATAACTTGCTAGTTACAGACTAGAATTTTTCTGAAAGGAGAACATTGCCCTTTCAGGTGTAGGACCTCTCTCAATTTTTTTTTTTTTCTTTTTGCAGTACTGAGGTTTGGACTCCGGTCCTCATGCTTGCTGGGCAAGTGCTCTACCACTTGAGCCATTCTACCAGCTTTAGGACCTCTTTTAATTAGCTTAATTTTAAGTTTTGATTGCTGGAGGAAGGGTAGAGTGAGTAGGAAGAACCAGCCTATCCTGATTCAAATGGGTCAAGGTCGACTCTTCTTGAGAAGGCCATAAGGCTCCTTTGGGTTGGTTGAACCCCTGTGACACCTGTAAGTGGTATAAAACACTAGGCTCTATACACTCCCTCTTTTGTTTCTTTTTGCGTGTGCTGCCCACGGTGTAGATTGGTACTCCACTCTTAGGCTTGCCTCTGTAACTGTCTGATTTGGAATTTGAGTTCCATTCATTTGTAGGCTGCCTCCTATGGAACAGCACCATCCCAGAGGGTGCTTGATGCACGTAACAGGTGACTCCCACACAAGAAATCTTGTGCATCAGCAACATTATAGTCAAATTCTGGGGATTGAACCCAGAGGCTCACAAATGCCAGGAGTTTTTAATAGCTAAGTGTATTAAGTGGAAATGACAAGTGAGCCAGCAGTGAAAAGCTCTTGGTGTAGAGCAAAGGAAAGAGAAGTCAGTTGCCATGTGGTTGGGAAACTGTGTAGGGCACTGTCCTGCCTTCTGGTGTGTGTGTTTTAAACGTTTTGATGCAAATTGCTTCAAAGGTAATTTACTTCTTTCTCTCTGTCTCTCTCTCTCTCTGGAATTGGGGTTTGAACCTTGAGCCACTCCACCAGCCCCCTTTTTTTTGTGATGGGTTTTTTCTAGTTAGTGTCTCACAACTACTTGCCTAGGCTGGCTTGGAACTGCCATCTTCCTGATGTGTGCCTCCTGAGTAGCTAGGATTACAGGCCCAGCACCCAACAGTTACTTACTTCTTGCCGGAAGAGCAGAACCTAACAGCGTGGTTATCTCTGTAATCATACACACGACACACAAAAATCATGTGCTTCTTCAGTTGACATTGACAACTTACTCTGCAAGGCTGTTCAGTTTGTGTCTCCTGGGTATTCAAAGTAAAGAATATATTCTAAAGATCAATATACCTTTCAGAGTGGACAGTCCACCAGAATAAAGAAACAATTTTGGTTATATTGTAGCTTGGGTTATAGTGGCATTTATGTTAATAGAATTTTAAATTTTTATTTTGCTTTCTTTTCTTACTTATTTCTTCTACTCCCCTCCCCCCTCCACTTCTCTTATTCCTCTTCCTCTGTCCTCCTTTCTCCCTCTGTCTTTTTTGATTTAACAGATTGGACAACAAAGTGTTGTTTGTGTTTTTTAACCAACATGTTTAGTGTTAATTATGTATGCACATGTGAAATTTATGATTATGGAATTAAAATGATCTCAACCTACAAAAAATATACCTCCAGAAAAAACCAAAAAATTAGAATACAAAAAATTTTAGCATAGCCAGGCGCTGGTGGCTCACGCCTGTAATCCTAGCTACTGAGGAGGTAGAGATCAGGAGGATCACAATTCCTAGCCAGCCTGGGCAAATAGTTCACCAGACCCTATCTCGAAAAAAAACCCATCATAAAAAAAGGGCTGGTGGAGTGGCTCAAGGTGTAGGCCCTTAGTTCAAACTCCAGTACCGTAAAAACCCAAAAAAACAACAACAAAAAAACTAGAAGACAGTTTGTTGTGGTGCTCTCCTGTAATCCCAAACACTTGGGAGGCAGAGGCAAAGAGAATAGAGAGTTCCAGGTCAGCCTGAGCTTCTTAGGGAGAAACTGTCTCAAAAAACCAAAAAAGAAAAAAGAAAAGATGAAAGGTGGCTTTATTTTATTCCACTATTTCCTTACTGTATGGAGTCTTTAAAGAACTCTGACTACTTACGAAGAGTCTCTGTAATCACCCAGCTGCTGGGTGATCAGGAGTAAGGATTTCTCCCCTCCCCCTCCCTGCCCTTATTCCTTCTTTTGTTCTCTCACACTCCCTCAGCTTGTCCCACTGCCCCGGAGGCAGAGAAGCAGACTGACCGGGTGTTCTCATTCCATCAGGTCTTTCTTCTTCTGGCCTTATCCCTCCCTCCACACCCTGCCACACCCCTCCCTCCCCTAGTTTGCACAATTCCTTGGGGTCTGGGTAGGTTGAAGAAGAATGGATCATTACCCCATCAGAGAGATTAAGAGCTGGGGCACTTGCCTAGGGAGGTGTATATTAAGGGACAAGCAGGCTCAGCCCTTAGGGGTCAAGGGAGGAGTTTTAGCACTGGTCTGCCAGTGCGTGCTCTGTGCTAAACTTGCAGGGGGACTTATAGCCTGAACTATTTTGTAATCCCACTTCTTTGTCTAGTGGAGGTCTCAACGTCCTTCTCTGAGGTTGAGAAAGAAGCTGAGGGTTAACGGCTCATATCCTGTGTCTTTTCTCAGCAGCCAGCACAGCAGCCAGCAGAGTAGCCACGACGATGATTCCAGCAGGTTCCTGAGTCCACGAGTGCGGGAAGAAAGGTAAGATCAAAGGAGGGAGAGAATGGGAGGAGAACGACCATGAATGGGGTGAAAGATCCTTGAGTGAGACTGCTTCTATCCTGTGTGAAAATTTTGGGAAACAGAAGCATAGGGGAGTGCCAGACCTTTGCGCTTGGAGACTAGTGCAAAGACAAGCTGTGCACTCAAGAAACCAGGAGCAGCAACACCAAGGGCTGACTCCAGTCAAGGGTGTTTGGTGTTCAGCAAGGAAGAAGCCCCCATGTGGCAAACCAAATATGCTGGCAACACTTTGCATTTAGGATTTGAGCCATGCCTGATTAGGTTACATGCGGTGTGGATCAGGTGGGAAAAGGCTAATTTGTGCCTGAGATGTTGTGTATAATGTCACATGGCAGCAGCATGCCAGCCTGTCTGGCTTGGTGTGGATTGTGTGTGGTAGAGGATAATGGAGAGCAGGCTGATGACAGGATTTGAGGTTGAAGCAGCTTTGCACTCTGGATGTGAAGACCAGACAGTATCTAAGTCTTGCAGTGCTGTGAGTGGTAGACAGAGGTAGGCTTGTGGTTGTAAATTAAGCTTCTTTGCCCAAAGAAAGTCAATTGAACTTCAGTGCTGGACATTGAACCCAGGGCTTTAAGTATGCTAATCACGGCCTCTGCCATGTTTAGTAGTGATAGGAACTAAAGGGCTCAGTTGGCCTGTTACAAGAGACAGGGTTTCACTATGTGGCCTAGCCTGCCCTGGACTTTGTGATCCTCCTGCCTCAACTTCCTGAGTGCTGAGATTACAGACATATACCACTACCCCTGGTAAGATTTAAGTGCAGAATAGCCATAAGGTGGCACCTAACTTGAAAGGATTTTATGTGAAAAAAACATAGGCATTTTCAACTTTATTTTTCTGGGAAGCACTGGGATTTGAACTTGGGGCTTCATGCTTGCTAGGCACGTGCTCATACTGCTTGGACCACTTAACATAGGAGTTTTATTTATCAGCCAAATACGAGTCAAATGATTTTTGAAAGTTTTGTATTCACTAACAGAAGCACGGTGCATCGATTAAGAGGCCTAGTTATAGTCTGTATGAGTTTGAGTAATCTGGAGTTCGTTGAAAATGGATAGTAATGTCTATGAAACAAAGATTAGGAAAGATAACTACACCATTATAAGGGCTGGATGATGGAAAAAGGTTTGACTTGGAAAAGAGAAGATGTAGGATGACTCTAACAGCACCCAAAAATGAAAGCCTAAGAACTAGAAGGATCCAGCTAGGTTAGGAAGAACGTTCTGTGATCAGAGCGGTGTAGTGGAAAAGGCCTTGAAAAGTAATGAACTAACCCTCCACAGAAGAATTGGAGCCAAAGCCTGGTGGTGTGTCAGTCAGGGGTTCCATCCTGGGTGAGAGAGCTGTGATTTCTAGATCCTTCTGTCTACATTGCAAAGCCTGTGAGTTCTGCCTTGTTCTCAGGATTTTTTTTTTTTTTTCTTCCCTCGGTACTGGGGCTTGAACTCAGGGCCTATACCTTCAGCCACTCTACAGCTATTTTTTGTGATGGGTTTTTCTAGATAGGGTCTCTCGAGCAAACAGTTTACCCCGGCTGGCTTTGAATGAACTCTGATCCTCCTGATTTCTGCCTCCTGAGTAGCTAGGATTACAAGTGTGAGCTACTGGTACCCACCAAGTTCTCACTTTTATGTTCATTATTAACCAAAGTGAATGGTGCAGCTCATCAGTTTAGACCGAGGGTATATGAAGGCATGGTGCCCCTAACTGGCAAAGACTATTCTCCTTGAAATACAAAATCACTTGTGATCTGCGGGCAGCTCCCTCAGTCCCTAGAGTAGCCTATACTCTGTCAGGCTTTCCGGATTTCGACATCCATAATCTCAAATGAGAATGGGCTACAGAGGTCCCTAGCACAACTTGCTTCCCTGTCCTTGCCCACCAAAAATCTTCAGAAGCATGCTGTCCGTTATTGTGATGTCCTCGGTTGCCGTTCCTCTATCAAGTCCGTGATTGCCAGCCCCTTACCTCACTTCTGTTTTCTCTGCTGCTTGGGCCATTCCAGGGAGAGACAGTCAGTAGCTGACTTGCACTTACTCTAATACCTTTTCCCAAGGATAACCTGGCTTTTGCTGTAGAACATGGTGGCTTGCTAGCAAGAGAGCTCTGCCTTTTGTTGGCTATTTGGGAATGCATATTGATATAAATTCTAGCTCCTTCTCTGACCATTCCTCACTAAAACGCTGTCATCTAAACTTTGCCCAGAAAAACCCTCTAGATTTCTTCTCTTGCTTTTTCTTCCCATCCTGAGTCTACTGAGTCCCTAATCTCTTCATGGTGGATGTGGATGTTTGCTTCAGTTGACTATGGACATAAGAGGCACAAAGGGATGTGGTGAGTTGTGTAGTTCCTATGACAGTCTCTGTGGATGTCCCCCACCTGAGAAACTCAGGGCTGGTACATGTTCAGCATGGTCTTTCCCAGTGAAATCTCTTCTCAACCCAGTGGGCTCCTTCTGGAGAGATCAAGTTCCCAGACCTCCAATTAGCCACCAGCCTTGACTCAGAACTCTTACACGCTGCACTCAATTCTTCCTGTAATACATTTCCACCCATTTTAGAGTCTCTCTGGTGTGTGTAGGGTGTTGGTCTGTGATGTCCTGGTCTACAGCAAATAGGACATTTGAACCTGAGGAGATTTGTGGCAATGGTGGAGATCTGGCCCATGTTCCTCACTCTGGGCCCCTTTGACAGACAGGGCACTGTCCCATTAATGGCGGCCTTTCCACATTGATGAGTCCTTCCCATAACCTCATTTCCTCTTTGCCACTCCACGGACAGGCAGCTGGAGCAGGTATTATCATGGACTGCAAATGGCCAATGGTGAGGTGGGTATTAGGCATCATTTTCTGAGACTGCTTCTTTTTTTTTTTTTTTTTATTATTCATATGTGCATACAAGGCTTGGTTCATTTCTCCCCCCTGCCCCCACCCCCTCCCTTACCACCCACTCCGCCCCCTCCCTCTTCCCCCCACCCCCTCAATACCCAGCAGAAACTATTTTGCCCTTATTTCTAATTTTGTTGTAGAGAGAGTATAAGCAATAACAGGAAGGGACAAGGGTTTTTGCTGGTTGAGATAAGGATAGCTATACAGGGCATTGACTCACATTGATTTCCTGTGCGTGGGTGTTACCTTCTAGGTTAATTCTTTTTGATCTAACCTTTTCTCTAGTACCTGTTCCCCTTTTCCTATTGGCCTCAGTTGCTTTAAGGTATCTGCTTTAGTTTCTCTGCGTTAAGGGCAACAAATGCTAGCTAATTTTTTAGGTGTCTTACCTATCCTCACCCCTCCCTTGTGTGCTCTCGCTTTTATCATGTGCTCATAGTCTAATCCCATTGTTGTGTTTGCCCTTGATCTAATGTCCACATATGAGGGAGAACATACGATTTTTGGTCTTTTGGGCCAGGCTAACCTCACTCAGAATGATGTTCTCCAATTCCATCCATTTACCAGCGAATGATAACATTTCGTTCTTCTTCATGGCTGCATAAAATTCCATTGTGTATAGATACCACATTTTCTTAATCCATTCGTCAGTGCTGGAGCATCTTGGCTGTTTCCATAACTTGGCTATTGTGAATAGTGCTGCAATAAACATGGATGTGCAGGTGCCTCTGGAGTAACAGTCTTTTGGGTATATCCCCAAGAGTGGTATTGCTGGATCAAATGGTAGATCGATGTCTAGCTTTTTAAGTAGCCTCCAAATTTTTTTCCAGAGTGGTTGTACTAGTCTACATTCCCACCAACAGTGTAAGAGGGTTCCTTTTTCCCCGCATCCTCGCCAACACCTGTTGTTGGTGGTGTTGCTGATGATGGCTATTCTAACAGGGGTGAGGTGGAATCTTAGTGTAGTTTTAATTTGCATTTCCTTTATTGCTAGAGATGGTGAGCATTTTTTCATGTGTTTTCTGGCCATTTGAATTTCTTCTTTTGAGAAAGTTCTATTTAGTTCACTTGCCCATTTCTTTATTGGTTCATTAGTTTTGGGAGAATTTAGTTTTTTAAGTTCCCTATATATTCTGGTTATCAGTCCTTTGTCTGATGTACAGTTGGCAAATATTTTCTCCCACTCTGTGGGTGTCTGAGACTGCTTCTAATACTCTAAACCATGTGATCAATTATATAATGATAGATCGTTTCGTAGAACAGGCAAAAAATTAACATTGATTTCTTTTGCTTTAAAGAGCAAAATTATAGTCTTCCGGTATAAGATGCACTTTCAGCTGGTTTAATAAAAATATTGATTTTTCTTCCTGGTACTGCACAAGGTTCAGAATGAACACCATATTTAGAGACGAAGTAATAACCCTACCATAGTCATGCATTGCTTCACCATGGGACAATCTTTCGGTGGCTTTCTCATTGTTTGGACATTATGGAGTGTGCTTACCCAAACTAAGATGGGTACAACATTTCTAGGCGATTTAGTCTTACTGGGCCATCTCATAGTTATGGTACATCACTGATTAAAGTGTCCTTATGACTATAGTAGGTAAAGTGTCTCTATATGGTCAAACTTGATGACTTCTCAGAATTGTTTTTCCTCATTCACATCATGTTCTGTCCTGGAAGAGGGCTTTTGGAGCCATGGCAGGGGAAGAAGAAAGTAGCTTCATTCATGCAGAGTGACTATGATTTCCTGGGACTCTGTGGCATCCAGGAAAAAGGTTGATTTAAAGGTAAGAATCCATTTATTGAGAAATGGGGATTGTTTTAGAAGTAGGAACAATCCCCCAGGTTTCCAGTGAAAAGGAAAATAGACAAATTTCCCAAAGTTTGTGTATGTACATGTGCTGAAATGCAGGATATTATTCCATTTTCATGCTTCAAGGTGAAGCCAGTGGCAAACCAAAACACTGGTTCCTAAACCTAGGAAGAAAGCTGGACCAATTATTAGGGTTTCAAGTACCCAGATCTATATTTAGTACCTTTCTCCAACAGCTGAAACACCTAA